TGTGAAGGGTGCGTTTATTAATTAGGAGACAGTGTTGGGATTTATGTGTAATTATTATTGCCAAGAACTCAATTTCAGATTCCTTTTGTAATTTCAGTTAATGATTTGTTGTACCTGATTAAGGGATATATAATTCAGGATCTCAGATATTCCTTATTATCATTATTATCATGATGGAATCGTACACTCGGTTATTATTCTGTTGGAATCGTTTTAATTTTGTGGGTTGCCGAGTGGATTCTAGTGTTGCTACCATCGGATCTAGGTGGTCTTCTGACATGTCCTCTCAGTTTATTCAGATATTTGTTGTATTATTCAGCCAGTGGCTATATATTTCCACATTTGTGTGTTTATATATATATATTATTTTCTATCGTTTCGCAAAAAAATAGGAATGTATTCGAATTGTTAAAACTAAAAAATTCTTGTTCGAGGCTTATAATAATTAGATGGGTCACACGTCATATTTTAAAAATTAAATATATATTTCTAATATATATTTCTATTATTAAATGTCATAATTTTATTTATTTTAATTGTTTGTAATATAAAATTTAAATTTAAAACTATGCATGTATGTATAAAAAAAATTAATTATCTAACTATTAGTTTTGCACAACAACTGATTAAAATTTAGAACCATTAAGATAGTTTTCTTAGAATAAAGTCCACTTGTAATTTATAACTACGAGTTAAGTTGTCAATTTCACCAAATATATAGTTGTAAATTGTAATATACTAAAGCTACCCTTTTAGAAAAATGTGCTGTTAACAACAATATTAACAATTGACTTGCTACTTAATCCTAACAATATATGTATTTAGCATTTGTGTTTTTACTATTTTGCCCTTTTGTTATTCTGAGTTTGGGAAGAAGTTGTCGTTTGTTTTGACAACTCTAGTTGTGTATAGGCTTAGTAGTATAAATAGGGATCATATGCACTGTCCAGAAACCTAATTCATTTTTCTCTCTTTTCGTATTCCGTTCAATAAAAAATGTCTCGTTTGTTCTTCATCTTCTTCGATCTGTTCTGAGTTTATTACGGTATCAGAGTGTGCATGTCTTAGGACCTGCAATGACTCTCTCTACTCGACCTGCTCTGTGCTTGGGCTTAAAGACTCACAAGTGATGGGACGTGTTAGAATATTACTTGTGAGTTGTCCACATTGATGAGCTAGTATATACTATATAAGCCTAGTGAGTTACTATTCCCATCACCAATTGATTTTGAAGTGGAACCTCACTAAGGTATATTTAGACTCACTCTCTTATGATGCGCTTCATCTGATGGGACGACATCTTTCTTTATTTGTTTTATTTT